TGAGCCACCCCCACAAATGGTTGTGGTCTCCCAACAGAGCCTAAGAGTTGGCAGAGAGGCAGATGCAGCTGCTAAGTGAAAGAGGGCTTTCTCCCTCATCCTTTACCTGCAGTACTGGTGGATTTCAGTCAGGTATTTCCTTCCGTCCTTCAAGCCAAAACAAAAGCACACTATTATTATTGATTGACCGCTTCTTGATTTCAGCCTGCGGCACAGGCTGTACAAAGCAAAAGGCTTGTTGCAATGTTTACCAGAAGTGATTACAATACTCCAGCAGCTGGTTTCAATACAGTGAACCCTGTTGCATGTCTCTGGCCCTAATTCTTCTTGCTACTGGCTTGATTTGTGGAATACATTATTGTATTGTTCAGACATACGACTTGTAGCAATTGTGAAAGCTCTTACCTCTTCCCTAATTTTTGTGGGGGCGGCATCACTTTGAAAGTTCATGTTAAAAAGGAACTAAGTACATGGGTGCAGCTGCCCTTCCCCTAAATCAAGTAAGTAAATAAAAAGACTTAAATAAAAGTAGAAATTGTTGAAAGATTTTGACAGATTTTTCTGAGCACTTGAGGTCAAAAGAAAGTAATTTAAAACAACTGTTGTTGAGACATTTCGTTCCAAATCTGCTAGACAGAGCCGGACAGAGAATGATGACAGGTGGGTGTCCTGTCCAATCCCTCAACATAAATCCTGGCTACACACATGACTAAGTAGCTGTACTTCATCCTGACCCAAAGGGAACTAGTTCCAGTTTGTTCTTTGACAGAATGAGCTTAATTCTGTTCAAGTGCATCCAACTGAACATGTGTCTCTGCCCCCGCATAAAAATCCATCCTCGGTATATTTTTGCAGCTTTAACTTGTAAAGAACACCACAGTTTTTAATTAGGCAGGTTACAGTACAATACTAACCATGTCTACTCAGAAGTAAATTCCATGGAATTTGGTGAGACTTACTCCCAGGTAAAAAAGGGGGTACTTGTAGTTAATAGCCACCCACCTGATCTTATGTGCCATGTTAGCATCTCTCATAAGTTTCCTGCCTCAGTGCCAGGGGAACGTTGTGCCAAGATGCCTTGAAATGAGAGCGATCAGCTACCCTGTTCTCTGTCAGTGTTAGTGATAGGGGAAGGTAGTGCCTCGCAATCGCAATCGGATGCCCTGTTTTCCCTCAGCGTGAGGGAAGTCTGCAGTGTTATCCTCTGCCTGCCCTGGTCTCCCTCAGCTTGAGGGAAGGCAGCTCAGATCAGCAGCGTTATTGGCTGAGATCTGCTCTGCTCTCCCTTGTGTGAGGAGCCATATATTTCTGCATATTGCCAGGTTTAAATCGTTATTGCAGTGTGATTTCAAAACTGATTTCAGCCAATATATTTTAAAATCTCACAGCGCTAAAACAGACCATAAAATTTGTGATAGTACCATGCAAAAATGACAAAGATTTAGTTGAGGGGGAGGCAAGGGATGGGCCGTGGACCCCCTGGGAATCAAATAGATAAATTCCCCCTGCCTCTTTTGTTAAAAGAAAATATCTAAACTGCTTTAGTCTAATGATATGGCAGTTTCTCCCCAATGCAAATTAGGCTATGCAGACTACTAGCTGCCTGGAGTAACTGTTCCTAATTATCTAAAATCTAAAGTAGCTGTCTTTGGCAGCAAAGCCATCTCACCCATGCAGTGTCTTGCTTCACATAAGATTGAACAGATGCAGGAAAATAAAAATAAAAAAAATCCAGAGAGCCAAAGCAAGATTAAGAACCACAGCTTATAATGCAAAAATCTAAACCTGTTATCAATAATTTACAAAATGGTAAGTGACACACAATTGGGCCAAACAAATTTAATAAAACATACTTGAGAATCAGACTTAGAAACAGTAATTGAAGAAGCAGATTGGCAGAGCCTGTGGGCTAAAAACAACACTGAAATCACTATCCACTCTTAAGCTCAAGCTCTTACATAGGTGGCAGTAACACCTCTGAGGTGCAGCTACCTCAATAAAACCATCTTTGCTCTTTGTTGGAGAGGGTATAAGGATATCAGAGCAGCTATTCATATATGGTGGGCATGCAATAAACTGCAACCATTTTGGAAGAATGTTGTTGATGAAATAAGCTTGATTGCAAACCAAAATATTAATTGCATCCCAACCTTAGGTCTGCTAACAATTTTTAAAGATGATAATGTTAATTTGATATATAAAACACCTTCCTTTTATTAACCGCTAGACAATTCATTGCTCAAAGTCAGAAGTCCCTAAAATTTTATCACAGCTGAAACAAAAAGTACGGAGATTGGCACTCTCTGAAAAAATTACTAAAGAGGCCTAGGCATTAGCCACAAAAGGATGAGATGATAACTTTATAGTGACATGGCACACTTTTATTACACATGCAACAGACTATCACTCACAATGGCACCCACTGGGCTCGCACCTCATACTTTGGAACAATTGTTTTCCCACAAGGGACCTGAAATTGCAGAGTGGGGGATGGGAAGTGTGTCATGTTGGTTGGAAGGATTGCTATTTCGTGTTATTTTGAAAAATCCATAATTTTTTAAAAAAAACAACAAAAAACCCACAGCATATCTTAAAAGGCCTCCCTGGGGTGCACATTACACAAATGGGAAGACAAAAGTGAAGAAACCTCACTCATAGCAAACTGCCATATTTCACATGGTGGGCGCTTGAAGAAGGGCCCCAGACAATGATCTCAGGGCACATGAAGGAGACAATCCTTCAGGTAGCAAGTTCCCAAATCATGAAGGTTTTTAAAGGTCCAAAATGGCAACTTGAATTAAAATCCAGAAATGAACTTTTCAGTCACCATCACCCATTGTCAGTTGCCACTGTCAGAGGTATTCTGACAGCAAACTATAACCTCAGTTAGACATACATTAACAGAAATCAACTATCCTTAATTTAATTGTAAATAAGAGTTCTAAAGAACTTTGGTTCTAAAGAAATGGATGGTGGTTTTTCCATTTCGAAAAGTCTCTTCTTGAACATCTTTCTAGCATTTCATGCTAAATATGCTGAAAATTTCCCTGGAAATTGGGAGATTAATTTCCCATAGACTTTCCCATAGTACATAGACTAGTTTATGAATTAAACAAGCTAGGTATACAAAGATATTTTTTTTTCCTGATTAGACTTCAGAAGGTCAAGAATGGGGATGTTATTTAAATGGATGTTCAGGGGTTGGGTGACTTAATTTGGATAACTTGGTATTTTGTATTAGCAAGGCTCAGACTGTGGACTTCAACTGGGGTAACTTTTTTTTATAAAAAAAAACATTAAGTATATGCCTCATGAAAAGAACATTAAAATCTCACATTCTACTTTCTGAATTCTTTAATTATCCCAGCAACCACTCTCCCAAAGAGATTGTAAGCTGCAGATAGTTCCTTAGCAAAATTCACAGCCTCATGATAAATTTATGTGAATGACTGCTTGGTAGTTTTTATGGACACTTCTTGCCAGCTCAGTTTTATTTTTGTATTAGAAGTCCAGAGTAAGTATTTAATCGCCCTTTGTCCCAGGGAATAGGATCTCTGTGTTAAGGAAACTTACCATGGCAGTATATGATCCGTGTCACCCACCCTCCACCCCCCATCTTCCAGCTCCTTGATGAGCTGGGTTAGTCTTTTGCCATGGAAAACTGCACAGTACTGTATTCATCTGTCATGCTAATCCTTCCCTCTGTGGCTTCAATCCCTTTATCACATTGGCCCAGCTGGATTGAAATCTCTCCAAGTTCTTGCTTAGCAAGCTCAGTGGAGAAGCCCCAGTTTTGATATCAAGTAGTAACAGCATTCTCACTTGCTAGTAGCTATTTCTAGCAGTGCTGCCACTCTGTGGATCAGCATAACAATGCAGTTTGCAGAGTGGTAGAGCTACATTCACACTTCAGAAAGCATAACACATTTAATAACTGGCAGTATGGCTGACACATTACTAACTGAAGTGACTTCTGTCTTGGTGGAATTTCCTCCATGTCCTTGTTTTATTTTACAAAGCCAAAATGTCATATTATATTTTACATGGTCAGAATAACTTTCACACCACTTTGTTCCCAGCAGAAGAACTATTATTGTGAATTCTACAAAGAAATAAAGTTATGAGAGCATATTGCTTTCACCAAGTGTTTATTTATGCTGGAGAAGTCTAGAGATCTGGTGAGCACAGGCGGGCTTACCTGTGCCTATGAACAAACCTTTGTAGGATGTGTCCCCCCCACCTCGCCCCAATTCAGAGCTCTTTTTTAGCATGAACTCTTTATATTGCTAGAAATCAGTAGTGGAGGGAAGAGACAAATCAGGAGGTGAGCATAATCTCTTGAATTTCAAGGTAGAATATGTTTAAACAGCAATTTAAAAAGAAAAATGGCATTATAGTCATTGCATAGGAACTACATGATTATTCTAGCTTTTTGAAGCTAAACTGTATACTGAAAAGATGTTAAGTCACTGATGGGCACACATATAGAATGTTGATTTACCAAATTGGAAAAAGTCAGGTCTCCATGTTGAAAATAAAAGTTCTGAGCTCTCTGACTGAGGACATACGCTAGTCTGACAAAGGACCAGTATGATATCTGCAATTAATGTTGGTCTACTTGCATTCCCTACAACAGGGGGTCCTCCACATGCTGTTGGACTACAGATCCCATTGTCCCTGGTCATTGGCATGTGGCTGGGGCTGATGTAAATGGTCATCCACAACACCTGGAAGGCACCATGTTGTCTATCCCTGATATTCAATATCCTGGGGAGTGGACAGGAGTTGTTAAATTACTTTACTATTTATTTATCAGGAGATGATGCATTTCAAGAAATGTAGATTATAGAAGACTTGAGGTTTTCCCCTGGGGAGCATAGGATAGGAGATGAGCTCTGCTCATGCTAGAAGCCTCTAATACCATGCTCGTGTCCGCACGCGCGCACACACACACACACACAAATTCAAATTTCAAGGTATCAAAATGATCGCCTCATGTTGGGCACACCAACTTGTCATATTCATGCTCTGCCAAACCTAGGCATCTAACCTGCACACTATAAGGGAATATAGAAACAAAAAGAAGAACTGGGAACACTAAAAGTCAAAGATTGTGTGAGTCCTTAGTACCCAGTCACCAGTCTTGGTTAGAAAGGGCAAGAAGGTACTTTACTTTAGGTGGAAGTGCAAGTAAAGCACTCGGACATCCTTCCTTTGAGGGCAAACCTCACATGGCTGTTAAAGAGCAGTCATCTGATTCCCTGCTTGCAATCAAACACAGCATAGTCCAGGAACAGTTTTACTGTGTGATCTGCCATTTAGGCAAGCTGGGCCTCAGAGGCAGCTGTTACAAGCAAGCAGGAAGAAAGACAACAAAGATGGTATGTAAAGAATAAATCAAATTATTAGGCACAGGGTAGTTGTATTCTAGGTCTGTGGTTGTAGCCTCAGTAGGGTAAAGGTAGGCTAAAAAAGAGATCAGGAGACAAGCAATATATGCCAGTTATGGAGTGACTGAGTGAAAAAATTATATATTGGTGATTCACAACTAATTTCATACTGGAAATGCAACCCCAACGTTGTCTGTGCCCAAGCCAGCTCAGCAAGAACAAACATACCAGATGGTGTTCTATGCTTTCCAAGCAATGCATTGAGGGCCCTGTCTCCTGGCAGTGCAGCAGGAAATAAAGAGAACCTTTCTTATGTAAAACTTGATAATTGGCGTCCAGGACAAAGCTTGCCAACTCCCCTGAACTTATTAAACAGCATGTATTAAATCAAAGGACTGTAGAGCAGGATCTTGTAAAACTCATATTCTGAACACTCACCCACCCCATTAAAGAAGACATATATCTGCATACATATGCATACCAACATTACCAAATACCGTATTTTTCCGTGTATAACACATCCCCATGCATAAGACGCCCCCTGTTTTTGGGGACTCCAAATTAAGAAAATGGGGAGAGATTGCAGAAAAATGCAGATTAGCTTCAAAAGTGGTATAAAATCTGTTTATAAAGAAACCCCATTCATATCCAACCAATTAAAATTTACTTCTCAATCGCAGTCATTGCAGCCTAGCACAAAAGACAGAACACCCAGACTCTGATGAGTTTTAGTGAAACAGAATCACAGGTTTATAGGGAACCCATTTTTTATTTATTGTTGGATTATTATTAAACTTATATACGACAAGCTGACGTGCAAACCAGGTCATTGTTTTGCAGCTTTTAGAAAATAAAACCAAAAGCTGGATTACAGCAGTAAACTGTACCTCGGGTTACAGATGCTTCAGGTTACATATGCTTCAGGTTACAGACTCCGCTAACCCAGAAATAGTGCTTCAGGTTAAGAACTTTGATTCAGGATGAGAACAGAAATTGTGCTTCGGTGGCACAGCAGCAGCAGGAGGCCCCATTAGCTAAAGTGGTGCTTCAGGTTAAGAACAGTTTCAGGTTAAGTACGGACCTCTGGAACGAATTAAGTACTTAACCCGAAGTACCACTGTATTTGAATATAAGATGTTCAGATTTCATGTAATAGGAGTCTGTTGTGTTCCTTGTAATATTATGTCTAAAAACATGTAGAGTTTGAAAACGTCTTGCATGTCTTCTGAAAGACAAGGAAATCATGTAAGAAGGTGTTTCCTATCGGGGGCCATATGGCCTCTGGGGAGCCCCAGGATATTCCAAGGTGGGCACAGGTGAAAATTACATTAATTGGGGGCTACAGCATGAAGCTAGGAGGCCACAGAGAAAAGTGAGAAGAAAAGAAAGCCTTTATTAAAAAATCCTGATTGGCTGCCTATCTGCTTGACCAATCACAAGCAGGTAAGGGGGTGGCCTAGCGTGCTTTTTTGCCATGTTCCTTTTCTTGGAGAAGTCCTAGTTTGTTTCCAGCAATTGCTGAGGCTCCCATTTTGACCACTGCTTGTAGCTGCTGCCAGTGCTGGGCCAGGTGGCAGCCTGGGCCTGATGCCGCAAGGCGTGGGGTGCAATCCACCACAGCAGCTAGCAAATTGGGGCCTTTGGGTATTGCCAAGGGACGCAGGGCCCATTGGCAGCATCGGCCTGTCTCTGCAAGGCATGTGGCGAAATCCACCCCAGCGCCTAGCCAAGCTGGGTTGTCTGGTGGTATTGACTTGCATCTAGTAAATAACTAAGTGTCTACTCAGAATAAAGTCGCACTGAGTTCAGTGGGCCTTACTCTCAGGTAAAGGTGTGGGGGGGCTATAGTGTTTTATCTAGGCAGCCAGGGCTCCTCCGGATGGCAAGATCTTTTTGCACCAGGTCAGTGAGGACCACTTGCTTTAAAAAAAATATTCCCCATATATACATAAATTCTATTTTCCAGGGACAGTCACAGATTTGCAGAAGTCATCCCAGTTTCTGATTTCATCCCAGAATGTCCCGCTTTTCCTTAGAATGTCCCTATTTTCACCAGAGAAATGTAGGAGGTTATGGTAGGATGTCTCTATTTTCATATGAGAAATGTTGAAGGGTATGGAATTATCCGACCCCCCCCCCCAACCATCTGAAGGCAGCCCTGTACAGGGAAGATTTTTAAATGTTTAATGTTTTATTATGTTTTTATATATGTTGGCTGGAGCAACCCAGTCAGAAGGGTGGGGTATAAATGGTAAAATTATTATTATGGAATAGGACATCCCTATTTTCATGGGAGAAATGTTGGAGGGTATGCTTTTGGACTGTTATCTGTAGGTTTCTCACTCTATGTCAAATAACTGGGGTCAAATAAGTGTTGTTTACTTTTCATAATACATGGAAGGTGGATCTCCCTTGGTAGGTTCTGGACTCTCCTTCCTTGGAAGTTTCTAAGTAGAGGTTGGCTGGCCATCTGTCATGGATGCTTTAGCTGAGTTTCCTACATTGCAGGGGGTTGCACCAGAAAGATGACCCTTGGGGTCCCTTCCAGCTCATTATGTTCCTATAATTTTATGTATAATTTTGTATAAATTATAAATATTATATAGTAGAAATGATGGGGAATCGGTAGTCCTCTGGATTTGTTTGACTCTAACAACCAGAGCTGCTGGCAATGAATATCTGTTGCATCTTTTTTTTTTCCAAAATAGGCCCTCTAAATTTATAGAATCATAGAGCTGAAAGGGACCGCAATGGTCCTCTAGTCCAACCCCCTCATGATTTATCTTTTTGCCCAATGTGAGGCTTAAATTAAGATTCTCACACTCTACCAGCGGAGCTATCCTTCAATGCTTTTTGTTAGATTTTGATTTCTGTGATCATTGTTGTTCTCTGAACCAACATTAATTTGTGTACTACATTGTAAAGTTGTAGTTTCTGAGCATTCTTGTGGTACTTCAGTGCAGCATTCAAAACTCCCATTGTTCTAGGCACGTTTTTTGACAGGGAATTTCATTAGCACAAGCAGTTTCTGAGCTCTGGGCGCAGTACTGCGCCTAAGATTTCAGATGAAAACTGCACAGTGGAAGGAAACGAGGACCTTTTTCTGCCTCCCCACTTCCAGCCACTCTCTGAAGACCAGAGAAGAGACCCTCTTAAGAATATTAGGGGGGGTGGGGGACAAGGGAAGCATGGCTTTGTTTTTCGCAGTCTTCAGATGAGGACTAGACCATGCAAAAAATGAACGTAAGATTTTAGCTGCGGGTCATTCATTTCCAGCTTCGTATTCTTATTATAAAAAAGAACGCCTAGAAATTCCGTTGTTGTGCCCATAACCTAGGTTTAAGGTGCCATTTAGCTCCTAGCTTTCATATCTCAGTTTCTAACACTCCTTCAGTGAGTTTCCTTTGTCTAGGGCTAGGCAATGTATTATGGTTGCCCTGGGATACATGTCTGTGGCAAAATCTCCAGCAATAATGCATGAAATCCTTGTTTATTACATTTCTCAGAGACTTATACTCAAATTGTCTCTCAAGGTGACTTACAATGTAATCATGCCATGCCATGGGGTAAGAGTTTGTGTATTCCAACTCCCCCATGGTACTGAGGTCCATTGAGAGAGAGGCTTAAAATGTGGCTCCTCCACATTTAAGAACTTGTGCACCTTATAGCTAGAGAGTGGAGGATATACTATGGGGTTGCTGATGGCCATAGCAACTGTAACTGTGAAGCTCAGCCCCCAAACTGCTCAGTTAAGCATGCCACTAAATCAGCTGAGACCACCTTTGTGTTTAGTGAGGGGGGTAGCTAATTTGGCTGATTTTATGTCATGTGAAAATTATCTTTATAGCCTTTCTGAAAGGCACTGTCTTGTGTTTGCTCCTGTCAAGTCCTTGAGCTGGCTGTGATCTCCCTGAATTCTCAAATGCCAACAAATTGGGATGGGGGGGTGCATGCGCACTCACAAATTCCTTTACTATTCCCCCCCCCAAATTCCTTTACTATTCCAGACATGAATTCTGTTGACTGAAAATGTTTTATTTGACCCGTTCCTTCCCTATTGAGTAGTAGTCCAGTTATATATGAAAGAGCAGCATTTTCCGATTAGATATGCTGAACCATTTACAGCATCTGATGGATGAGAGGAATTCATCGGGCTGCTATGGAATCTCCTTCCCATAATGCAGTTTGTATCCTTTATGTGCTTGTCATGCTGCTGCAGACATTGTCGCTGATCAAAGGAGTAGTGTCATGATTTGCATGCAGTAAAACTGAACAACCCCCTCCCCTTTACCTTCACTCTGTGCCATTCAGGAGGAGACAAGAGGAGAAGGCAGCAGGAGGAGCAGTGTCTTTGCTAATTAGACACTAAAAGTGATGGAAGCTTTTTTAAAGCAGCACTTTTGCCCCAGGCATGAATTTACTAACTTTAGTTTGTTGTTAGGTTTGGTTCATTGATCTTGTCACAATTGATGATTCATTAAGTTGTGACTCGTGTAGAAATTACAATGTGCAGATGAATCGGAAGGACACGTCTGAGCACTCTCAAAGTGTTAATTATTTAGGAAGGGCTCTTGGTAGCAGGCATGTGCTGCACTCCAAGTGCCAATTGCCATTTTAGAGCCTCAGCTCATAGACTGCGGGTGGCAGAAATACAGCCCTTTAAATTCATGTTGCTCAGACGGGTCAGTTTTTAAATATCTCTTCAATTAATGCAGTGTAGTTCAGAAAGAGGTGGGGTTTTGCTGCGCAAAGACTCTTTTGCCTAAGCCCAGAAGGCTTTTAATACCTAGAGCATTATGGGCATTAATAATCCCACCATAATCACAGTGAAGTTAAATATTTCTTTTTATGATTTTATTCTCCCACCTAGGTTTGGTACTAGCCATTCTTTCACTGCAAGTGCTAAGAATTCTAGCATAAAGATGTTTCACGTATTTTGAGAGAGAGAAAAGTTGCCTACAGACTGAAATAGATGGATTCCCTACACTTGAGTTTTGTCTAGTTTATTTAGGAGGCAAGTAGAGTTCTGAGAATGCTCCTCTCCTCTGTAATATTTTTAAGAGCTGAGGGTTCTTAGAGGGTTCCCAGGAGTCTCTATGGCCCACTTTCAGAATCGCTATCACAAATTTATTTATTTGTACTTATTACTTACCTTTCACCATATAGTCCCAGAGCAGATTGCAACATAAAAAATATAGTATTAAAATCAAAAACAATTTACAATCAGAAGAATTCCATGTTATATTTTCTGACACATTGCTTCTAGAAAATATGCACTGTGAATCTTTTCTAAGATCCCGGAAGTAATTGTGCAGGTTTTCAGTTCTTTGGTATTGTGGCTTCTACAGGGTGAGTCCTTTAAAAGAGGCACACATGTTCCACAGGGTCTCTTTTAAAAGACTTACCCTGTAAAACTGTCACTGCTTAAAAAAGAAATAAATAAAAACAAATATCCTAAATGGCATCATACCATTTAGGTATGATTAGGGGGATTAATGGCATCAGACCGCCTCTCTCCATATGAATCTACCCAGACCCTGAGATCATTCTCTGAGACCCTTCTTTGTGTCCCTTTGGAAGGTGGAGACATGAGAATGGGCCTTTTCTGCAGTGGCTCCCCATTTGTAGAATGCCCTCCCCAGAGAGGTTCACCTGGTGCCTTCATTAAACATCTTTAGGCGCTAGGCCTTGGGCTGATTAACATCCAATACCTTTTAAAATGTGTTGTGGGAATGGGGATTAATAGTTTGTTTTTGTTCTTATTTGTATAATATATTTCGTGCTTTTTATATTGTATTTTAAGCTGTGAACTGCCCTGAGATTTATTGATGAAGGGCTGTGTACAAATTTAATAATAATAAATAAAATTAAATTAAAAATGTGCTTGCCTTGAGTTTCTGTCCTAGCCCGCATTCAGACATTCTGGCGCTGTGTATCGTAATCCTGTAATGATGAACATGCTAGCTCAGAGTTTAGTTTTCAGAGTTGATGAGAAAAGAAGCTAATTGTAATAACATAGGAGGCGGTTGAAACAGTAACTGAAGCTAAGCTGCAGTTCAATTTCTTTTGCCTATCTCTAATTAACATACATTCATTTGTCCATCTTGTGTGCACAGAGCTATCATTTTGGCTATTTTCAAAGGAGAGAAAAAGTACCAGATAGAAAGGTTGGAATTAAAAGGACTGTGCAGATCATTTAACAGGCCTGTTTGGAGCATACGTTCAGCCACAAAACTTGGCAACTCTTCTCCACCTTCCTGTCATCTGTGTCAGTAATGTTCACTGGAGCACAAAAGTGAAATACTTCTCTTAACCTTTTCTTTAGTGCATAGGTTTAAAACAAAATGCTTTCATCACCAACTTTCATTAGCTCTGAAATACAGCACTACTTTACATTTGGGTCTACTCAGTTTTGCTTTGCTTCTTCTGAAAAATTAATTTTCAATATTTGAACATCTTCTAGCAGTTCTTTAGATTGTATGCATTTTAGCAGTTTATAATGAAGTTTACCCAAAGCTGAGGCAAATTTGTAGGCAAATTGGCCCCAGAAGGCAAAGTGATGAAATGTAGACCTATCTGTTGCATGCAGTGGAGCAACCAAAATTGTTCTTATTGTGTCACAAAGTCAAAATTGTTTGGGATTGCTCTTGGCTTGGTTCAGCAATATGGACAGGAGTCTTTTCTCACGTTTATTTTGAGTGCTAACTCCAGCTGTGCCAATTTTGATCTGCAACTCTGAGTTCAGTGATTTCCCCAAAGGTGTGTGTGTCAGATAGAGACAGAGACAGAAAGAGCTCATTTTTTCCAGCTTGTCATGAGGCAAATACCTTGAAACAGAGATCAAGGCATATGATGACTACATTTCAATAATAGATTTAGTATTGATCTCATTCAGAGTCCTAGCTATCCATAATCTTTGTTCTGTTCACCATACACTCTTAATAATTTTGTGCCTAAATTAGTTTAATATTCCATCAACAGAAGCTGGCAGATTATACTGAACATATTTATGATAGTAAAAAGTGGGTCATTGCATCATGATATAAACTTGCTAATTTGGGGGTCCTCGGAGCAATTTCAGAAACACCTCAAGAACATATAAAAATAGACTAGTTTTCTGGTCCTTGGGCTAAACCTATCACCTGCCAAGAGAAATTATCCCAAGCATCATTAACAGTACAGGAAGAGGTGTGGGGTGGTTCTGTTATGGTATCTGAAACTCTGGAGCGTTCAACATTTTAAGGCGGTTGTGACATTTATTACAGCAAACCATTTTATGTGAAAGACGTGAATGACAGATGTGTATGAAAGGTGCTAGTCTCTGGGGAGAGGTTGTGTGGTTAACTGCATGCTTCAGCTCTGTTGTGGCTGACCTGGACAATGAACTCAGGGGCTTGGACTTTTGCACTTGTTTTTAATCAGCAGTATTGATGAGGCGCTGTGGGTTAAACCACAGAGCCTAGGACTTGCCGATCAGAAGGTCGGCGGTTCAAATCCCCGCGACAGGGTGAGCTCCCGTTGCTCAGTCCCTGCTCCTGCCAACCTAGCAGTTCGAAAGCACGTCAAAGTGCAAGTAGATAAATAGGTACCACTCCAGCGGGAAGGTAAACAGCGTTTCCGTGCGCTGCTCTGGTTCGCCAGAAGCGGCTTAGTCATGCTGGCCACATGACCCTGAAGCTGTATGCCGGCTCCCTCGGCCAATAAAGCGAGATGAGTACCGCAACCCCAGAGTCGGTCACGACTGGACCTAATGGTCAGGGGTCCCTTTACCTTTACCTATTGATGAGGACTGATGTCGCAATCATTGCTTCCAGATAGCAACTATGGCTTGGTTTTCTACTTGGTACAATTGAAATGAAGAAATGTATAGTTTTAGATGTATTTAAAATCAGGAACTTTCTTCTTTTGCTGATGTCTTTTATCCTGTTCTTCTGTAGGGCCACAAATCAAAGCATAGGCAAAAAAATTGCTGTCTGACTTGAGCCATCGTTTTATTTTATCCATTACATGTTTATGTCACATGTTTGCATGAGATCCATACTGTACCACAGCACACTGAATTCATTTTGTTATAATGAAGTTGCTTATTCAAAATTGTTTTGTTGCTTATGCAAAGTTTTTTTATATATTTTCCAGCTGCAGCTTTGTGAATATCTTATATCTTCACATTTCTTAAGAAATTACAAAGTGCTCATTGTTGCCGTCTATTCCATAGAAAAAGATGTATCTATCATATATTGTACATCCTGAGTGCTGGAAATGTTTTGTTTTGTTTTTTTCTGTGAAGGCAATGCAGGTTTGTTAGATAACATCTTAATGCTGCTTGTGTCCTTACAATTGTGATGTTTCAATTTCAGCGGAAATTCAGTAGAATACCCCTTAATTTTTTCTGTACTTCCATGTTTTAGGATTGTGGTGAAGTAATATAGGGGCAGTATGAACAGAGAAGGGGGCTATTAGCACAAGCAGGAGGGATGACTGCTGACAGGAAAGCCTGCTGTGGTGGCTCCTTGCTTCTATTGGCATATTTTGGCTTTTGCTTGAGTCAGGAAGAGCTGTTTTATAGTACTTCTTAACTGGTTCTGAAGTCAAATCCTTGATTGGGTGCTGGTCATGGGCTAAGGGCCGGTATATGCACACTTTTCATATACTTCTCCCACAGCCACCAGTTGCCTCACATGTATAGTTCAGTCTTCACTTGAAAGTGAAGTGGTGCATTTCATATCAAATATAATACCCTGACGAAACAATGAGATTGTCCTGGAGTTTTATGCATGATGATGCTTGAAAGGCACTGTAGTCTAAACCACTGAGCCTCTTGGGCTTGCCAATCAGAAAGTTGGTGGTTCAAATCCTCGCAACAGGGTGAGCTCCTGTTGCTCTGTCCCAGCTCCTGCCAACCTAGCAATTTGAAAGCACACCAGTGCAAGTAGATAAATAGGTACTGCCACGGCAGGAAGGTAGACAGCATTTCCGTGCGCTCTGGCTTCCGTTATAGTGTTCCATTGCATCAGAATCAGTTCAGTCATGGTGGCCGGGTCCACATGACCCAGAAAGCTGTCTGCGGACAAATGCTGGCTCCCTCGGCTTGACAGCGAGATGAGTGCCGCAACCCCATAGTCACCTTTGACTGTAACCTTTACCAATACTTTTACCTTTACCAATTACATTTCACATCTAAGCAGTTCTCTTTAGAAAACAGAGGAACCTAAACCTGCCTTGCATCCAGGATAGTTTACTAGCTTGCCCAGAAGTGTCTCAAGTTTTTTAAGAGACCTGGAAAATGCAGTGAATTAAAATGTAATGAGGAGACAGCATGTGTTTCTACCTCATCTCTTTCTTGCTCAGTTTAGAGATGATGTACCGTATTTTTCGCTCTATAGGACGCACCCGACCATAGGACGCACCTTGTTTTAGAGGGGGAGAACAAGAAAAAAGAATCTCCCCCTCTCTGCTCAGCCCCCCTTCAGCGAAGCGGCAGGAGAAACAGAGCCCCTTCCATTTCTCCTCCCGCTTCGCTGAAGGGGCGCTGCGCAGCTCTCCCTCTCTGCTGAAGCCAGGAGAGTCTTGCTTTCCCGGCTTCAGCAAAAGGAACCCGAAGCCTCTGGAGCGCAGTGGGACCTCCCGCTGCGCTCCGGAGGGTTCAGGCGGCTATCCCTGAAGCCTGGAGAGCGAGAGGGGTGGGTGCGCACTGACCCCTCTCACTCTCCAGGCTTCAGCGAAAGCAACGCGAAGCCTCAGGAGCCTGCATTCACTCCATAGGACGCACACACACTTCCCCTTAATTTTTGGAGGGGGAAAAGTGCGTCCTATGGAGCGAAAAATACGGTACATACTCGGAAAAGCACATTGTTTCTGCAGTCCTTCACCTGCATAATATTCATATGTGACTGAGACCTGTGCGTCTGAACTGCCCCCCAAACTCTCTTAATACTGAAAGTTAGCATTTCAAGGAAAACACGTGAATCCTTTTGGTGGATATGCTTGCTTTCCACCAGTCATGATTTTCATTTTCAAGGGGCAGTTTTCAAATATTTGGTTTTTTTTCTATATGCAGGGGGGCTGAACTGTATGCTTTTTCTGATTGTGTAGGTCTTTTCTTAGAGTACCTGTGGGGTAAGGTAAGAATCTTTTAGTGGCTCTGAATGCATTCCTTATATTGTAATTGAAGCCATTGGTCTGGATGTTTTCACTGGTTATTTGCAGTCAAACTTGAAAAATGTGGAATGAATCACTTATGACTGACTTTACAGTTGACGTTATGTGACATTTTATTTGCAATTGTAAATACAGGAAATGGTAGTGAAATGTGAAAAATGTGATGTGTCATAAACATTACAGCCTCCTCATTAAATTTATTGTATGTTTCTGAGATACCCAGCAAATGAAATAAATCTGGGACATTGTTTCCTCACAGCTACAGTTA